CACAACTGAAGAGGCATTTATGGGAATGAGTAGATGGGGAAGTGAGGGAAGGGGCTGTAAGGAGCATGACTGGGCCTCACTGGCTCTTTATTCATTTACTATTATTCCTCACTAAATAGGACAGGGAGGTTGTCTGTTTTGTTCATTCACTGCCACACATTCAGGGCCCAGATCCAGTGCCTGGCACCTAGCAGAATCTCAATAAATACTGAGGGTGTCATGGTGCCAAAAAAATGCATACACATTTTAAGAGATGTTATCTATGTGCTACTTTTCAAAGTTGAATTGAATTACAGTAGCAATGTGTACCTGCAGAAGTCAAACATGACTTGTATTCATCTTTTGTTATTGGTATAAATTGAGTATTACAATTTTAATACAGTTTTTTCCCTTCTTAAAATGTAAATACTTTTTTTGGCAAACGGCACCCTCTGTATATATTGCATGAATATACAATAAAGTACATTGAGTTTATTAGAGTTTATTCATGCAACATATACAAGCCCTATAAGCAAACTGTGCTCACAAATAACGTTCTGAGTTAAAATAATTTGTTTAAAAATAACCAATAATATTATTTTACATTTTTATTATCCTCTGTTATGTTTTTGCACAAAGCATCTTATTTAAAACTCACAAAACCACCTCACAATGTAATCAGGTCAATTATTCTTTAGCAGACCCTAAGTCTCCTGACTCTTAGTCAATATTTCTTTTCCCACATCACTATGCTTATGATAAGACTAACAAATAGTTAAGTGCTGAAGAAATAGCACATTTTCCAAGAAGCCATGTATCTTCATAATATAATACTAAATTTCTAATTTCCCCTGAAGATATGTGCTTTGTGACTCTGGGTAAGCTACAACATAATTCAACATTAAAAATTAAAGTGAGACCAGAAGTACAGGATAGCAACTTAACAGGACTGTATGCTTACAAGACAAAAGTGATCCTGTGCCTCAAAGAGGGAAACAGATATAACAAACACCCAGAAGTTCCTCTACTGAACCAGCAACAGACACTGGGTTCTCCAAGCACAGAAACCTGATTTGTGTAGAGTTGAAACAAGTTGTGCCCCACAGAACCAAACCTTCGACTAGAACATGCTGGCAAGAGAAAAAAACCTGCCACACACAGAAGGTCATTTAAAAGTCCTTGCAGGCATTTCAAAACATGGCTTTGTTTTAGGAAAGCCAAGTCTCTTCGGTGTGCCTTACTTCAAAAGGGTATCTTCAAGATAACATACTAGTGCCAAACATTTGAATTTCAAATGTTTTTTGTTGTTATAGAATCCTACTCTTTTGTGGAATAAAATATTTGGGGTTTGAATTCAATCCATATTTTTTCATGCAGATATCTTTCTAAAAAGGATATATGATAAGTTTCAAATGAAAGAAAAATGACTTCATAAAGTCATACATCCCAGCTAATGGCCTCATAAAATGGCCCCCAGAAGCATTAATGTTGAATACTGAGCGCTGCCTTTATGATGACACTGTTAACAGTAGCGACCAACTGTCAACTGAGTACTCAGTAACGTGGTACATGGGAACGTGGGAAAGAACGGGCTAGTCCAGATAGCAGGAGGCAAGGGCTCAAGTCCAATCATTCATTTTACACTTGAAAATAAGAGGCAAGGCTGGGCGCAGTGGCTCAAGACTGTAACCCCAGCACTTTGGAAGCCTGAAGCAAGAGGATTGGTGCAACCTGTCTCTACGATAAATCAAAAAATAAGCCAGGCATGGCGGTGCATGTCTGTAGTTCCAGCCATTTGAAAGGCTGAGGCGGAAGGCTCCCCTGAGCCCAGCAGGTTGAGGTTGCGGTGGCCGTGAGCGTGCCGCTGCACTCCAGCCTGGGCAACAGAGTGAGACTCCAACTCACCAAAAAAAAAAGAAAGAAAGAAAAGAAGTGGCAGGAGACTGATTAGAAAGAGTTTTTTGTTTGTTTTAAAGAGACTATCATCAAAATTAACCACATTTCAAAGACTACAGAGACCACAAAATACTTTTGTCCTGTTTTGGTTTAATCTCAAATCATTCTCTGTGCAATAATATTCGCTTTTTAAGGTTACCACCAACCAGGCATGGTAGTATGCGCCTGTAGTTCTGGTTACTAGAGAGACTTGAAGTAGAAGGATCGCTGGAGCCCAGCAAGTCAATGCTGGAGTGGCCGTGAGTGTGCCACGGCACTCCAGGCAGAACGAGACTCCAACTCAAAAAATAAATAAATAAACAAAAATAAAGATAACCACCACCGACCTTACTGCTCACATTGCAGAGATCTTCAAAGCAATAAAAACAAAGGCCTTTCCAATCACAGGACCAATCCCTGGCACTCGGATTGATAAAGAGCTTCCTTGTCCAATTACTATAGATGACTCAGTGGGGTAGGCAGTTTTTCAAACACCTATACTAAAATTGTAAGTTTTTGATGATACATGTATTTGTTTTCACTTATTCTACAGAGCTGAACACAGCTAGCATAATAACTCCCTCCACATGCTACCTGCCAGACTCCCATCCTGCCAGACTTCATCCCTCCAGGAAAAACCTCCTTTCTCTCCTACCAGAAAAAAAAAAGACTAAAGCAAATTTTGGAAAGTTCCATCAGCAGAGCCCCAGTGTTGAAACAGTCAAATCACATCATCATTCAGCAGAGCTTTTATAATGTATTATGAGTCAACCTTATATACCTAAAGTTGCATTTAACAAGTAGCCAACTGACTGGCATGACAGCCAAAATTCATGGCAATAACTCTTTGTCAGGGGCACATTTTGATTTATGCCAAGAATTGGAATTTGGCTCTTCTCCACAAACTTCTTTGCAAAACCTTAGTGCGCCAACCCCAAGATATTGAACATTCACAGATTTAGGGCCAGAAGTCATGGTCTTTCATCTACAGAATGGATTGGAAATTCTGCTTCCTACCTCATGTGGGCACAAAACAATACTTTGGCCAACATCAACAATTTCCACATCACTAAAGTCTCAAGAAGTTAGAAAGCTTTCAAGAAAAGAAAATCACAGATTCTAAACTCTAAAAACAAATCCCTAAAAGGATTACTCTTACAGCATGTGATCTATATCTCAAAAATATATATATATATATATATATATCCTAAGGTCTCTGAATACTTGGAAATAGTTATTTTTTCCACATGGATTGATTAATACTCAGTTGTTTTTTCCCAAGGTTTGACTCATTCCATATCTTTCAGGGAAAGGAAGAATGTAGACAAGAAACGTCTTTAAAATTCAGTCATGGGTAACACCACATTTTTGCTGTATCTATTCTATGTTTAGATATACAAAGATTTACCGTTGTATAACAACTACGTACAGTATTCTAGGCTGTAACACACTGTACAGGCTTATAGCCTGGGAGCAACAGGACACAGCATATAGCCCAAGTGTATAGTCAGCTATACCACCTAGGTTTGTCTAAGTTCACTATGATGTTTTCACAACGATGAAATCGCGTAATGGGCCAGGCTCGGTAGCTCAGTCTGTAATCCCAGCACTTTGGGAGGCTGAAGTGAATGGATTGCCTGAGCCCATGGGTTCAAGACCCGCCCAGGTAACTTAGCAAGACCTCATCTCTACAATAAATCAAAAATTAGTTGGGCGTGGTAGCACGCGCCTGTAATTCCAGCTACTTGGAAGGCTGAGGCAGAAGGATCGCCAGAGACCAGCAGGTCGAGGCTGCGGTGGCCGGGAGCGTGCCACTGCCCTCCAGTCTGGGCGACAGAGTGAGACTCCAACTCAAAAAAAAAAAAAAAAAAGAAATCGCCTAATGACGCATTTCTCAGAATGCATCCCATGTCATTAAGTGACACAGGACAGTAAGTCCAACTGCAGTTCTGCCATTTCTGATACTAAGGATAAAGAGTAGTATTCCGAAAATACGTGTTGAGAAAAGAAATGACCTCCCATCCCTCACCCATCACACACCACATGTTTGTGGAGAACCTGGTGCTGAACCATTCGTAGACAGCCTGCTTCTGGGTCAGTGTTTTGTATGTGGCAGAGAAGCTCCCTCGCTATGATCTATTGAAAGTCAGCCCTTGATACGAGGGTTTGTTTAAATAAATATATGACTTTCCATAGCCCAAAACAGTTCTCATTCCCCCCAATAGCTTATACAAACTATAAAATCTATTCAAATAGATGTTAATTATACTTTCATATAGCTAATAATTAATTGTTTAAAAAAAGATCCTTTCAGCCAGGCTCAGTGGCTCAGTCTGTAATCCCGAGCTTTAGGAGGCCAAGGTGAATGAATTGCCTGAGCCCATGGGTTCGAGACCTGCCTGGGCAACTTGACGAGACCTCATCTCTACAATAAATCAAAAAAGTTAGCCAGGTGTGGTAG